ATTCAATCTTCATGTCGTGAATTGCTGCCAAGGATACGAGCAGACGTATAGAGCTCATTCTAGCTGCAGGAGCAAACGTCTCATTAAAATGTACACCTGGCTTCTGGTTAAAACCTTGCGTCACTAATCTGGCTTTTCTTTTATCTAGCATACCATTAGATTTGTATTTATTTCTCAAAATTATGCGACTCCCGATGATCTCTTCTCCATTGGGGTACTGTACCATCTTCCAAGTATAATTTTTAACAATGCTTTCTACTTCTTGGCAGATAGCTTCAAACCATTCGTTCGCATCGGCACCGTTCAACGCTTGATCTAATAGAATTTCGGAAAGAAAACCAAATACTGGTGCTTCGCTTGCCAACGTGGTTTCTTCGGTTCTGGGGTTGTATCGTTTTCGAGGTCTTACCTTCAAGCCAATTCTTTCGATTCGCGGACGGCCTGGACCACGTCTAGTTGATGTCGCTTCTTCTTGATCGAAATGTTCATTCTCGGAACCCTCTTCTTCACTTGCTGCTCTCTGGTCGCTGTCTTGGATTTCTTGTCCATTGTCTTCGATCATAGGATCTATGGGAACGTCAATCGTGGAAGTTGGAGGTATGTCGTCTCCTTCTTCCAGATCTTGAAGAACGAAATCTTCACAGTCATCATTCAACTTTAAATTTATTTTCTCTATAAATTTTACGTCGCGAGCTATGTATACTCTTCTCTCTTCTGGGAACCATACTCTAAATCCCTTGACTTCTTCTGAATATCCGACGAAAACGCCTTCCTTGCATCTTGGTCGGAACTTATCTTGATTTGGTTTCTTGTGATTACATAAAACACGACAACCAGAAGTCTTAAAATAGCTAACGTTGGGCTTCTTGCCCGTCCACAACTCAAAAGGAGTCAAGAGGTACGTGCTCGTAGAAGCTTTAATAAACTTTAGGAAATACAACGCAAAAATACAGAATACAAAAAAACAACAGCTCATTACTTTTTTACAATTATTCATGTGTTCTTGTTTGTTGTCATGACAAACCTACAGGGTCGCCCTTTTCTAATATGTAACAATAAACTCAAACAAATTGGTACCTAGTGTTTTTGGCCACTGCACGAATTTTTGGATGCAGTACAGCTGTTTGTGAATCTACATTCTCTGTTTTAACCGGAATAAATCATCCGGCGCGTTCAATGACGCATCAAAGATTGGCAAACTTGTTTTTTCTGGCTTTTGAAAAGTACCGTACCAATTCTTTGGACTTCGACAGGTTTTTACGAAAATTTAATAGCGTAAAAAATCGACTTTTACAATTAATTTAATGTTCTTTCAAAATGTAAAAACTGAGAAAAAATAAAGTAGTATTATTAAAATATGTATACATATTTACATGAAGCCCCCTCTGTCGACAAACTTGCCCCCCCTGAATAAGTTTTCTAGCTACGGGGCTGGGTGTGTCAATACGTTGAAGATAACTCAGATTAATTTATGGTTTAAACCTTTTCCTAAACTTATTCTTCAAGAAGGAACTGTGTTTTGTCGCGCCTGCTCTAAACCGGTAAGTATTTTTACATCTGTGGACGAAGCAGCAGTTTTTCTATTTACAAATACATACTTTAGAATCACCGGAAAAATTTGTTGTTAGAATATTTCGAAAAATATTTAAAAATAAATTGTTGCCAAAATAGTAATTAAATTAGTCGATTACTATTTAACTCTTTTTTAATTTGTTCTGTCTATATTTATTTTTTAGTATAAGAATATTATCATTAAAAATGTGATTTATGTGTTAGTGAGATGTAATTAAACACTTTGCAAAATGATTTATGTATTTTTTGTAATAAAACGTAAGCTCGGGAAACCTGTTTTTGTAATTTGTAAATAAATTTAGTTCGCTTATTAATCTTTTTTTTTAATTTTTGGAGCATATGTAACTGCATATCTCTGCATATATTAAGAAAGTTACTGCATATTTGCATAAATTTGGTGCATATCATATGATCATATTTCCCAAAATTTTGCTGCATATTTTCCGCTCTCTAGTTATAAGGTTTCAGAGCATTTGATTTTGCAATTTCAAAGTTAAATTGGAAAGTGTTGTTATGCAATTTTTTTACAAAAATGTGGATGCCTAGGGCGAAAACTCAACACGTAATCGGTTCGCTAATTTAGAAGATTATCTATATAATAAAAATCGGCACAGACGCGAACAGACGCCAGACGGCAGATAGACAGACAGACGGAAACGAGAGACTTCTGTTTTCGTATTCTAGGGGTCATGAAACGTAGAGAAAAATCTAGCAGGTCGCTTGATGTTTTCTCTATGCTCGATTACAATACTTCCTTAGCTTACAATCGGAAAGTAAAAATATGAATGCATTGATAAACCACAGTACAGAATTTAGGTGGAATTTATTCATCAAAATTTTGAGATGACGTCACCAATCTTTTTATTAGATTTTTTAGACTGATTAATTTTAATTAACGATTTATCATGCTTAAAAAATGTCTGCTAAAAATCGACACAGACGACAGACAGACGGAAACTGGAGGGCATTTTTTTTCTCTAGCGGTCATGGAATAACATTGGAAAAATCAGTGGCGTAACTACCGGTGTTCCATGTGTTCGCCGGAACACGGGCCCGCTGCTTCAAGGGGCCCGGTCCGGTCACACGAACATTTTTTTTTTTATTAGATTTTTTTATATTATTGCCCAAACTACATCCCGAAATAAAAAATTCGAAAATGTGCGGTAATCCCAGGATCGATCGTTCATTGCTATTTACGAATTTGTTGCTGCAAAGGGCTGGACTTTTGGCGGCATCTCAATTGTCATCATAGACTCAATAAACTCGGGTTTTAGCGACCGACACCGGCGGTCGAAAATGCAGCAGCATCTGTTTCTAATAAACCTGTCGCAGTGTCGCAACCTCATTGCGGCAAATCTAACACCCCATGTTGTAAATTACCAATCTTTATCCGACAAAAGTATGACTAATTTATGATGCAAGACAACAAAATACTTAAATTTTGTCCTCAGATCTACAATGAAACTTCATGCTGTAATAAGACGTGAAAAAAAAATTCAGTTTCAGTTGTGTTTTATGAAAACTTTCGTATTTTCAAAACTATTTTAATTTTGTATTTGTGGTGCTTTTTTGGAATAATAAAATATATCCGATGTATGTTACAACTAATTTTTTAAATAGAAAAAAAAACTGGACTGGGAAATTATTACAGAATGACCTACCTGCACCAGTTTTACTGAAATTATCACAGCATGTTTCACTTTTCTTACAATGCATCTTTCGGTGGCTTCAGCGAGAAGATCTTTTTCGAAATTAAAAATGACTAAACATTTTTTAAGAAACACAATGAGCCAATGCAGATTATCTTCACTGAATTTCTCAACTGGCAATCAAATTGCCAGAAGCTTAGATGTGTCAAATTTTGTATCAACTTGTGCCCATTGGAAAGCAAGAAGAAAATAATTTTGAGATAAAAAAAACGGGCATTTTTATCTATACTTCTATACTTAATTATATTATAAAGCTGAAGAGTTTGTTTGGTTGAACGCGCTAATCTCAGAAACTACTTTTTCGAATTCAAAAAATCTTTTTGTGTTGGATAGTACATTTATGAAGGAAGGTTATAAGCTATATAACATTACACTATGATCAATAAGAACGGAGCAGCAATGAAAAATATCGGAAAAACGGGAAAATTATTCCTGCTTTGACAGCTTACGTTGTTTACGCTGCTTAAACGGTTAAAGTTACATATTTTTTATACCCCTAAGGGATAAGAGTGGCCCTCCATTTTTTTTTATTTTTTAGACATTTTCTATTTTTATTTTTTTAAGATATGGCATCAAAAAATACATATAACCCTAAATTTTCACCCATCTACCACCAACCCCCATTTTTTAATAACGATATGAGTATCTTTGCTTTCATCCACAGATGCGTAATAAGGTTGCAAAATGGTTATTGAATATAATCATTGTCGTACGATAATTTTTTATGTATTTATTTTAATTTCATTTTTTATTTAACTACCAAAATATTCACTAGAAATGCCAAAACAACGTTTGCCGGGTCGCCTATTTCTAATGTGTAATATAATTGTATATATTTTATTTATATGTATTCAGGTAATTATTGTATTTTGTTTTTTTAATTCAGTGTTTCAGGTAGAATGATTTTAATAAAACGTAAGCCCTAATTCCAATCTACTCATACTTTACTCATTATACTCGTATTTTTAAATATTTTTATTTCGCTGTTCATTAGGGGCCCCACAGTGTTGTAGAACACAGGCCCGCTGTTTGATTGTTACGCCACTGGGAAAAATATAAAAGTTACGCTCGGAAAGTGTAAATGGTCTAGAATTGTTTGGGCAGAATTTTTTTCGCTTCTGAACAAGTTAAACAAATCCAAGTTTCTTCAAAGTAGGGACATTATTAAACTATAATAGCGTCATCAATTTTTGGGAACAAACATACCAATTTGGACAAATACGATATGTAATGTTAAGAACAATATTAAAATTTCAAAAGAGGAAATAAGTAGTTTTTTACATAATCAATAAAATTGTTTTTTTTTTTTGTTTTGTTTATTTATAGGAGTATATTATGAAGAAAATGTATGTACAGGATCATGAACTTTTAGTAGGGGCGGGTGTATCAGTTGGGATAAGTACAGTGTAATGTTAATAATAACAGTGCTTGCTATATTTTCAGAACTTCAAGAAAAATGCGATAGGCTCTATTTTATTTACTCAATAACATATACTGCTTCATTCATTAATTGTTTTAAGACAACCTGTATATGTAAGTAATTAAAAAAAAAAAAATAAGGATGCATTAAAAAACATAATATTTTGTACATTTTGGATAGGGTTTATCCAGCAACATTTTGAGATGCTTAAAATTTTGTGCATTTGCGTGTAGTTCTAAGTTTATATCTCGGAACATTTTTATTTTAAAAAAGGTTAATGTTGGAATATGAATACTCACTGTTTATTTTATCTATGTTACTGGACTCATTTATCAGAGTCATTATTTCTACAGTTGTAGACCCATTAGCACTCGGCGCAGAACTAATATTGTTTTCATTCCTTATCATTGATTCGTCATCTACAATATTCGTCAGATTTAAGTAAGTATAATATTAACAAATACAACATCAAAACATACTCTTTTTATCGTTGGTTGCTGTCAAAATGTATGTGCTAAGCGACTGACAACTTGATTGTTTAAAAGATTCATCATTAGGACCTGGGCTTACTACAGACATCGACATATGTCCGCCTTCTCCACTTTGCTGAATAACAGTAGCAACAACTGGAATTTTAATTTGTACGGTACTGCCTACTAAATTTTGCTTCTCTTGAGCTAAAATCTAAAGCTAGTAACCAATTTTAAATTTAAGACACCTTACCATCTGCTGACATTTTAGAACTTGACGTTTTTGGCGTAACTGAAATTTGACCGTGTTTTTTCAAATCCTCAGCACTTGCAGGCACCAGCATTTGCTTGTCATTTCCCGCCGGTAAAACACGAACTAACACAGGAATTCCTGTCAAAGGTCTCAATAACGCAAACGGTATTTGATTTGTTTCAATCGCCAACTGCATAGCTTTGGTTTTTATAGGCTCCACAAATATAGCGTTTGCAATTCTGCTGTTAATTCAAAATTTATTAATGCTTTTAGTAAAAATAAAAGTATAAACTTACTTTTGCTCATCTAGTAAAAAAGTAGAATCTGTTGTTTGATTGTTATCCTTATGCTCATATTGTTCATGGTTTCTCAATGCTATCCTTTTCGTGAAAGTTCTTCCACAAATCTGACAAGAATATTTAGGTTTATCCACTCGTTGATGAGACTGAAAACAAAATTAATTTATACGGTTGTTTCATGGAACAAATGTAGCCAAGGTGTTAGTTTTCTCTTAAATAGAGTCCATGTATGATTTTCCCATATACCTTCAGTTTGTGGCACATTAAATTAGACATTTGATTAAAACCTTTGCCACAGTCATCACATTTGTATGGTCGTTCATTTGTATGAGTAAAAATATGATTTCGAAGATTTCCTGAAAAATTACATTAGTCCGTTAATAATAATAGTACATATTTAAACAAACACCTTTTTGATGGAAAGCTTTGTTACATAAGTGACACTGATGAGGTTTGATGCCGGTGTGAGTTTTGCGATGGGAAATTAACGTGGAAACACGATTAAACGTTTTTTGACATATTTCACAAATGTATGGTCTTTCGTGAGAATGTATAGCTCTATGCTGGGAGAGAGTAGACATTTGTCTAAAAGCTGATTAAAATCGAAATTAATACAACGTTATATGTATATAAAATCAAAATAATACCTTTACCACATGTGTTGCATTGAAATTTTCTTTCATCTGTGTGAGTTGGTAAATGGCGCATTAGGGTATACTGATGACCAAATTCTTTTAAACCTGCAAACTTAATTATTATTAAAGGCATAATACCTATTGTATCACAAAAATTAATAAAACAAATAATAAAATGCTTTTTTAGTTTAGTTAAATTTCCGCTTATTGAAGACATCGTATTTCGCTAATCATGATGTACCTACACTCACCGGCACGAAAAATGGGCCATTCTTATAATTTTTTTTTTAAGAATCGAAAATGTGCAAAATAAAGTACGATTTCGGTTGCAATACTTTGATGTTGTTATGCAACGCTTATTGTAATATTTTTATCGAAAAAGAACTAAAGAATATATTATTTTAATAGAAAATGAAAAAAATTCAATAATCAAACAAAGCTGAAAAAAAAATTAAGTTTCCAAAAAAGCAAAACCAATGGTCATTAACACACTGTTTAAGGACGTCAATAAGGGGTATTTCCCCCACGAACCTGTAAGACTGCTGCCATTCTCCAGAGCGTTCCATGAAATAAATTGTTTATTTCTTCTTGTTGGATATTCTCTCATTCCTTTAAAAGCATATTCTGAAGCTCATCTAAAGTGTAACGTCGAAGCACTGTACTCAGAAAAATATTAGCTGGCCCGTTTTCCATGTCGGTGAGTGTATTACACTACTATAAAACAGTACCTAGGTATTTTATTGCACTGTAATGTTTGTAGAAACGTCTCAACAATCACCAAATACATCACAAAAACACAAGCAAAAAAATTGGTCTAAAGAGTTTAGAGAGTACTTCCCTCGCTGTCGGAAACTTGACGACTGCATGGCTATTGTGTTTTTTTCTCATTACATTTTTGTAGTGGGAATTTAAAAAAAATTGCGATGACGTCATCAACATTTTTGCAAGGACACGTATATCAGTTGGGATAGATGTAGTGTAATACTAAGAATAAAATTATTGTATTCCCAAATTTTCGGGAAAATGAATTGGGTCGTTTTGAATATTGATTTTTTATAATCAATAAAATAACGAAACAATTTACTCACGTATACGGCAACTGAAAATCGTTTATGTATAAACATTCTTAATTTAAGATGACAGGCGTAACAGCATACGTGAGAGTCAAACAGAGAAACTGTAAACAAAACGACCATCGGTTTTATTGCTTCGACTTCCGCTTATTATATAAAACATTGGGTTTTATTTTAATTCTTGACGGTGAAATTCACAATTGGTTGATTATAAACATGTCTATTTCACATTCGCGGAACCAAGTGAGCGCATAAAACAAATGCAGGTCTGTAATGTTAAAGTCGATGTAAATAAGCGTGCTACCCTTATGTTTCAACCGAGTTTTTCCTTTAACAAATTTTGTGTCTACCAAATTGGGTTGGTTGGGGTGTAATACTAATAATAAGTGTTGCCTTTAATTTAATCAATAAAATAAATTGACTTCATTAATTTTTTTGAACCACCTCTTAAGAAAATCTAAAAAATATGAATGGAATGATAAATCACAAGTACAAACTCATCATATTTTTTGCATTTTAGATAGGATTTATTCAGCAAAATTTAAGGGTGACGTCATCAATTTTTTTAGGAGGGATGAACAAATACATTTTGAACAAAAGTTTACCATGCTTATAATAACTTTAAAATATTCCCAAGATTTCAAAGCATTCGGTTTTGTAATTCCTGATTAAATCGATAAAATAAATTCACGCCTTCATTAATTTTTTTGAGTCACCCTGCATATGCAAATCCAAAAATATGAATGGAATGATAAATCACAAGTACAGACTCATCATATTTTGTACATTTTAGATACGATTTATTCGGCAAACTTTTGAGCTGACGTTATCAGTTTTTTGTAGAAGATAACCAAATATATTTTGACTAAAAATTTATTATGCTCTTTATAACCTTAAAACATCTGCAAGATTTCAAAGCATTCGGTTTTGTAGTTCCTAATTAAATCAATAAAATAAATTTACGCATTCATTAATTTTTTTGAGTCACCCTGTATATGCAAATCGAAAAAATTTGAATGGAATGATAAATCACAAGAAGAGACTCACCATATTTTGTACATTTTAGATAGGATTTATTCAGCAAAATTTTGTGGTGACGTCATAAATTTTTTAGGGGGGACGACTAAATACGTTTTGATCAAAAATTTACCATGCTTTTGATAATTTTAAAATATCTTCAAGATTTCGAAGCATTCGGTTTTGTAGTTCCTGAGTAAATCAGTAAAATAAATTTACGCTTTCATTTCTTTTCTTGAATCACCCTGTATATGCAAATCCAAAAAATATGAATGGAGTGATAGATCACAAGTACAGACTGATCATATTTTGTACATTTTAGATATGATTTATTCGGCAAATTTTCGAGCTGACGTCATCAAGTTTTTGGAGGGGATAAGCAAATATATTTTGACTAAACATTTATTATGCTCTTTATAACCTTAAAACATCTGCAAGATGTCAGAGCATTCCGTTTTGTAGTTCCTGATTAAATCAATAAAATATATTTACGCATTCATTAATTTTTTTGAGTCACTCTGTATATGCAAATCCAAAAAATATGAATGGAGTGATAAATGACAACTACAGGCCCATCATATTTTGTACATTTTAGATATGATTTATTCGGCAAACTTTCGAGCTGACGTCATCAAGTTTTTGGAGGGGATAAGCAAATATTTTTTGACTAAAGATTTATGATGCTCTTTATAGCCTTAAAACATCTGCAACATTTCAAAGCATTCTGGTTAGCAGATTAAAAATTAAATTTCAAAATGTTGTTTTATAATTTTGATTTTTTTTCCAAAAATCTGGACGTTTCGGGTGAAAAGTCGATTCAGAGTTGTAAACTACATGTGTAGGACTATGTTATTTTATACAATTGAAAACCCATTTACTATGTACAATTTTGAAGTGACGTCATCGCATTAGTGGGGGGGATGATTAGACAAATTTTGGTTAGCGTTTTACCATCTACATGATATTCTTAATATAAGTACAAAATTTCACAACAATCGGTCGAGTACTTTCGGAGATTATCTGTCTAATAAAAATCCGGGACGGCAGACGGACAGACGGACGGACAGACGGACGGACAGACGGACGGACAGACGGACGGACAGACGGACGGACAGACGGACAGACAGACGGAAATGGGAGACCTATTTCTTCGTCTTCTAGGGGTCATGAAAGATCGAGAAAACGTAAAAGTAGAGAGTCGGCCGACGGACTCGATTACAATACTTCCTTTGCTTACGCTCGGGAAGTAAAAACTGATCTAAATAAAGTTATTTATACATATACTTAGAACTTCCTTCACGCCTTAAATGCAAACAAGCAAATTCAATTTCTTATATCATAAAATTTGATTATGAAAATTTTATCTTTTGATAAGCTCTATAAGTTAAAATAATTTGAGATTGTGGATTGTTAAACTACAGGTAAGAAGCATGTTGTGCGTATGTTTGAACTGAGTTTTTCCACAATAAAATTTTGTAATGACGTTATCAAACCTTAACAAAATTTGGCTAATCATCTCCACAAAGTTGACGCCATCCCGACAAAGACATCTCTCAGATCTCTTAAATTTCATAAAATAAGATACTCCTGCACTTGTGGTTTATGAATCCGCGATAAATTTTTACAATAGAGAACATTATACAATTTAACTTTGCAAAATCGAAATCATGCAAACGTTTTAAGGTTATCGTAAGCATGGGAAATTACATAATCAATTTTCACCCATCCAAAACGTGACTCCACTAATGTTGCATGATCTTTACGCCGGGACTTCGACCCGTACCGTACCGTACCTCCGGATGATATTTTATAAAATTTAAATATGATTTACTTTGCAGAATTTTGAGATTACGTTATCACATTGTTGGTTAATCAGACAAATTTTAGTTATCATTTAGTATCTACACGATATTCCTAAAATGCACTTTAAATCTATTACAACAATCAGTTCCATTTTGATTTTTTTGACGTTGATCGGGAAGAAAATTCTCCAATGAAGAAAGTAAAAAGAAGTCCGATGAAGTCAAGGATAACTCCAAGAATATCACAGACAATAAAAGGCCCCAAATTATACAAAAGTCAATTTATTGCACGTTTAAGGGTGATGAGACAAATAAAATCAGATCCGCTCAAGAAGAGCTAATTTATATCTTTCACGATTAATGCCTTCATTACAAATCATAGACGTAGAAGACTAAGTTGTTAAGAAGACATTTCCGAGAGCAACAGTCGAAAAAGGGAACCCCGGAAAACCTAACACCTCCTCATATTTTACAGGAGTAATTAATATGGATCTAGAAGATATTAAAAAACGCCTAGATCCCAAACTATGGCTGAATTGATCTCTAAATTTTTTCCTCCACCGATCACCGAAATGAAAACATCGATTAGTATTTTCCATCTGAATATACAACCTCTAAACAACAAGATAGATGAACTTAATATATTTTTACAGCAACAGTGCTATGAAATGGTCTGTTTAACTGAGGTATACTTGATTCCTGATTACATCGATGGCACTTGCACTAAATTTTGGATTGTTGTATAGGGTTAAGCTCGCAGTGATAAGGAGGTAATCGCAATGACTGTGTCTCGCGGCCTTCGCTCGATGAAAGTGTTTGTTAAATTCTTTTGTGTACAGAACTTCTACAAGTTGTTTTTTGTTATAATTCTCTTCGCAATATAAATCATTTTCTTCAAGAAACTTCTTAATTTCTTCTTTTTTCTATCCAGGATTTGGAATTTTTCTTGCCTGGACGGAATGATAACTTGCGTTATCCATAACAATTACGGTACTGGCTGACAAATGTGGAAAAACTTAGTGGAAAACTACTAAAAAAATATGTCTCCCGTCATCTCATCGTGGTAGTCAACTTTCACATCCTAAATGTTTTTGACGAAAAAACACACTGCTTCCGGAACAAAACCTTGTTTTGTTAATTAAAATTATTTTCCGTTGAGCCCTCGATGGGGGCAGATTTAAAACACCATTTGAACTGTTGTCAACAAATCCTTTTTTACCACGTCATGCGAATCATACGATGTTTATCGAGAAAAATAATGCTTCTATCTTCTTCCCTGAATTTCACTATTTCACGAAGGTACTTATACCACCGTTCACTGATTGCTTTTCATCCTTCCAGCATACGCCGTTTATCCAATGATTTATAATCAAATCCAATTTTTCCTAGAAATGTTCGAATTGTTTCAATGCAACCCTGCAATCCAATGAACTCCGCAATTTTTCCTTGAATATATTTCAGTGTCGGCACGTAATTATTTTTGTATCCATCATAAATGAGTTTTCTTATGGTGTACGCATGTTTACTTTCAGTTTTCAAGTGACTCCCTTATCCCCTCTTTCATTTCTTATTGCAAAACCCCATTTCACAATTCGCCAAACAATGTGTAGGAAAAATTTGTACTATATTCGGTTATTATTTCAATTAATTTTTCTTCTTGCATTACTTTTTTTTCTTTCAATGAATTATACACATTAATTATAATTTGCTTCATTTTCAACATTTAGTACGGCTCCCATTTCTTCAGCACTTATTTCATTCCACGGTCTCCACATGTTTATTAGTTTTCACCACCTTTGACTGATCACAGCGAAAGACGTATCCCTATCAACCGAAAGCTATCGAGGTAGTAACGATTCTTTTATTTGCAAATTTAGGGTGATTAATAAGGGTTATTTGAATAATTTTCAGAACAACAAAGTTAAATTCTTATTTGAACGTTTATCAAAAAGTACTTAATCTTTCTAACGGAATACATAAATGCGCTTTTGAAAACCAACCCCGAAAAAGCAGGTTACTTGGGTGCTTTTATGGGAATTAAGGTTGATCAGGGACTAATGACGCTCATAAAGTGATTAACTCTGTTTCCAAATATTTTTAAAAATACTTTACAGACGATCCGCTTGTCACAGGACGTAACTTGATCTTCGGCATCATATAACTGAACTCAATATGGCCTAGTACCCAATATGGCCTATTGGCTTTTTCTCATATGTTTCAAAAAAATGTGGTAGATCGCCACTGGGATACATTCTGGGACGTTTTTATATCATTTAGGAGCAATCAGTAAAGTAATACACCGTTTCATTTACTTACAATCAGTCTTGGGGACAGATACTTTTAAAAGTATCTAGATACAGATATAGATATATGGAAGATAAAAGTATCTAGATACAGATTATTTTCGATTTTTTCGAAATGTATCTAGATACAGATACAAGAAAACAGATACTTTTTGAAGCTTTGGCGAATAAAATAACTGAAAACATGTTTATGTATTTATGTATGTATTGTTTAATGATTTTTTTAAAATTAACAACATTTCGAACGTATTGTCACCTAAATTATTTCTTCTTGGCGTCAGAATTTGGTTTCCGCTACTAAACACCCGTTCCACAGGTGCAGAAGAAAGGATTGTGGTATTAAATTTAAAAAATAAACATTTTACTGTAACATAGTTATTCAAGACTGAAAAATCTTTTCTTTTTTCCTGCAAATAGGCCATCGCTTCGCTGTTTGATGTGTCGCAAATTGTGCAATATTTATTACGTACGCTTAAAAATAATAGTTTTTTTGTTTTTATTCCCATACTACAGTGTCCAAATTGTGTTTGAGTATATCTAATAATTATTTCCAGCATTAAAATTAATATTTCGAAAGAATATCGGAAATGATTATTCTGTGCTGAAGGTCTGTTGTCGGCAACCTGTCATAAATTATTATTCTTCAATATCGGCTTACGATATTTTTATGATCATGTCCGGTAATCGTCTATCCCGGTGCGGCAGGTATATACATTTTAGGAAGGATTGCTAGTTCCGTTTAAGGCAAAATAAGTACAATTTCTTAGAAAGGTATTTAAGCCCTTTATAGGATTAAAGGCTGCCTGGCAGGCCGGAATCACTAGAGTGCAACTTTAAATTTTCAGATTTTTGTTGAAACTCATTTTATTTTAATCTCGTTTCACGATTTCTGAGAATATATCACGATAAATTATTCTACCGAAGGTTGTAAAAATATTAATTTTATTACCCAAGATTTACACTTAAACATAATCGGCACATTCTAGGGCAAAACGGACCTGCCAAACCCGCTTCGCGTTAGGTCCAACAATGAAAAAGTGAAGAAATGACACATGAAGCAACAGGAAAAGATGCCACATTTGTCTGAAAAGTAAAGGTACAAAACAGTAACAAATATGCGATTTATGCGAGAGAAATGTATGTATTGAACATTCGATTAGTCGATTACAGAACTAATTTGTGCTAATTGAAAAAAATAATCATTATTATGTAACACGCAATTATTATTTTCTAAAAATAATAACATACCTTACACAAATATTTTTACTATTAAAATTACTCTTATTTAATAACACAAATACAACCAGCGGACCTACCGGACCCGGCTTGCTCAGGTACACAGATAAAATGCATTGCCCCGATAAGCGTAAAACGCAGTGAATAGTGAATTGTGGTTTATGGTTTTTAAAATACCATCTTACCATGGCTTAGATTTTATTACCCCTCAGGATTATATTTAAAGATGTATAAGTACTGAAGGCTACAATGTAGGAAATGATGGTATTTAAAATATGAAAATTTCCGTGACAGAACACTATTAGTGGACCTCTTACCTCTATTTTTGTTTATGTGACCAAAATCGCCAACATGAAGTATCAAAAATTACTACTAGTATAACTCAACTAATAACTATTGAAAAAAAAAGCGAAAAAAAAATGTATCTGTATCTGCGCCATTAATTTTGTATCTACAGTTTCCGACAAAAAATTTCAAACATCACTTTTCTGTCATGTCAAAAATTTTAATGTAGTCTATGCTTTATTGTCATTATTTCGGACAGCTGGAATGTCAAACTTTCAAAATACCTAAACATCTAAAGGTTGCTTTACACTATCTGACGACTGAATGACATTGACGTCTGAAATTTTTTGGCGGCAACTGTAGATACAGATATTTTGTGCTTAAATTCGATTTTATCTAGATGCAGATACTAGATACCCAAAAATGTATCTACATACTTTATTTAGATACAAGTATCTAGATACTGTCCAACACTGGTCATTTGCCAAAATCAGTTTTATCTTAGCAGGTACTATTGCGACAAATCGCAATAGGACCCTGCCATATAATTGTTAAAAGTTTGCAGGCTGTTATAAGTTATATTTCGATCGCAAAATTTTAATTTTATATCAAAGTTGACAAAACAGCTTTTTTTAATTTTTGTAAGCCATTAATAACGTTCATTTAAAGATTACAGGGTATTTTAGGAATGGTTTATAAAGACGTTTTTTACTTACATGTTTTGCATTGCCATATTTTAATATGTTTTCCATCTTGAAGTTTGTATTTTACCCAGTAAGGTATTTCATTCTTCATTAGTTCTAATTTGCATAAATTACCCAAATCTCTCAAATTACTTAAATCCAAAGGCATGCGGTGATTTAAACTTTCAGAAACTGCAACTGTATTTGAAAATGTATATGATGAACTAGGCTGAACGACCGGTGTATTAAAATTTTCAAATTGTAAGAAATCATTTTCTTTCTTGATTCTAAAACAGATTTATAAAAAAAATAGAAACAAATTAACTTAATGGAGCAACGTGTGCATTGTTGTAGTTTATTAAATTAAAGGTTAACTTGAAACTCTTTTTTAAGTTCGATTGCAACTCTCATCAAAGCTATAAAATGATGCACTACTCACAAGAATTTTGAAAAACTTACCCGGAATGTTCTTTTTCATATTGTAAAAATTCTGAACTCAAATCTATTTGATCCATTTTAAACCACAATAAAATTAAGAAGACTTCAAAAGTTGCAGTTTAAAAAGTTTGTAACTAACGCGAATTAGATTTTGCACAGTAAATACTCGTATAGTCAAATTCACGGTTCATCAAGTAATAACAAAAAAAAACAAATTACGATATAACAAAAACTAAACTTTTTGAAGTCTATAAAATCTAAAATGTATTGTAAGAAAAAAAGATTGGCGTTTCGTGTTTTGTTTTTAAATAAAATTTTAAAAAATGAAGGTGGACATATGGATTTTCATTTGACTAACACTCGTTTAGCTGTCACAGCTCACTATCAAAGTCTGAAAGTCTTCCTTTTTGAGTTTATGATAAGGAAATTCTGGTCGTGTGGCAGTCTGTTTGCTAAAATTTAAATTTAATCCACCATGGCAGGAAAACCTGCTTTGAGCATTTGCATTTCTAAAGGGTTGTATGAATTTGAGCGCTATTTAAAACACTGCATTAACATATAATTTATCAATAGATTAATTTCGGCATTTCATACGAAAATTAAAATTTTCAGCCTTTCTTGATGTGGAAGTAATACTCTTTATCTTTTATATGGCTAGCCTGCTGTTCATGCTATTCGTCTCCGTTTGCACCTAACGTAGCCCATCTACCTGTAGATGGTAAACGTGGATGGACTGTACGACCATGAACACATTTCTTGCGATGTGCAAAGTTGACGTTACACGTTGTTGAGTGAGGTTATGTTTTAAGTTTTATGTTCTCACATGTTGAAACTGTTCGTGAATACTTTCTTTACGGTGTGTTATTTAAGTGAGACAATAATTTATTACACCAAGTAACTAGTGGTTTAGTATCAGCTACCAATGGCTAACGAAGAGGCCCAATTAGACACCCTCCCAGGGGGCGAAGAACTTCCACCTGCTGTAACTATTGCTCGATTTGTAGCATGTCGGAGTCAAGAAATTCAAGTGATGAAAAATTCGTTAGGCACCCAGTTCGGAACCAAACTAGCATTTCAAACCTTACCTAAACATATGCGAAGACGGGCAATGTCCCATAATGTAAAAAGATTACCACGACGTTTGCGACAAATTCATTTAAACCAAATGAAAAAATCTGGAATGCCTACTAAGCAGAAACGACCATCTCGAAAATATCGAAGGCGACCGCGAAATTTAACAGAAGAATACACGAGAAGGTCGAATAAAAGATATAAATGGCTTTATACACACATCTGGCATGCAAAGAGATTCCATATGACAGAAAAATGGGGCTATAAATTACCTCATCGACCTTGTGATAAAGCTTTTAGAGCCTGTTACAGGGCAATGAGTCAACATTGTCTTTTACAGGACATTTCATATTTTAATGGTATTGAAATTTCCGGGGATAGAAATGTCATTATTCATAATTTGAAATACTTGTCCAAGCCAGATGGAGGATTGAGTATTAGTGCCAAAGCATTTATTAATGGTAATCGTGAAGGAGAGTTGACACTTTATGAAATGGGAGACCTACACAAAACAATTGGAAATGTAAAATTTCAGTGGTTTCCAAGCAGTGAAAACACCGCGACAAAGTTATGGTTGTGGATTCATCCAGCATTTTACGAGAACGTTAAAAGGGCCCTAACACTTTGCTTTAAAGATTGTCCAAATATTTTATTTGAAGAACTCAGAATGGACCTAAGCAGGTTCAGGTTAACAGGCCCACTTTCTAATTCAGTTCTTCATGATGCTCTTCAAACCATAAATATTGATCAAACAGCTTTATCAGAATCATATTTAAGAGACTATATTAAACTGTTCAAAAACAAGGACGTTGTTAAAGAGCAGTCTGAATATTGGAACCAAATTAAAAATGTAACATCCACAGCAGATTTATCCCCACATTCAGTTTGTTCAGTAGTTGTTAATGATCCCAGGTTCTATCTACCAAAAAAGCGAGTAAAGAGTGTCCCAGATATCCACAACTATGGAACTATTGCACTGCCTGATACTGCTGCACATAGTCCACTTTGGTATAAAGATTTTAGAAAACAAGCTAATAATATTGGTATGCGGGATTCAGAGATAGCTGAGCTACGAAGTAAATTATTAGTACCCGGTTCAAACTTGACTGAAAATACTGTTCTGGTTCCAGTAATCCTTATTCAGCAACCTGGAAATAAAAGAGAAAATATAGGTGAGTTTTATGTTTTAATTTTATAATATTTTTCCTAATTGTTTAGATATTTTAAAGGCTTAGGGGGTGGCTGGGATATCATCCTTCCAAATGCTTGGGCTAAACCATTTTGGATTGCTTTTGTTATGAGAGGAGCCAGAGCTGGAGGTTTGCGGGAATCAAGTTCCATACTGTTTGAAATGGGAAAATCACAATTTTTAGAACCAGATACAGATGCAGGAATAAATGAGGAACTTCTATCATCAAAAGAAAATGTAGATATATTTTTCCGTAAGCCACCTAATAAAAGAATTAATTATAACAAATTTAAAATAGCCAGCCCTTTTACTTGTAACTGGAATTTATTATTAAAAGAGTGGGGTCATTTTGCATCTAGTGGTGAAATTACAATACTTCGGAACAAGAAGATTTTAAATTCCATTGAGGTAAGGTTTGTAAATGTGTTCTGCAAATTCGTTCAAGAGGTATAATTTATTACAGGTTTTTCTGAACTCAGGTATCCAGGAGCTGCCAGATTATCCAAAAAATTGTCTTATACCAGTAAAACTGATCTGTGAAGCAAGAGGATGTCCTCAAAAATTTGCCATCATTTGTTTGCCACAGAATGAAAAAGATTTAAAGAAAGTCGTCACTGAACCAAACAGTGAGGACAAATTTCAAGCAGAAAGAAAAGAACTAAGAAGAGCACATCAAAGCTTGCTGAAAAAATTTAGAAAGCAGCGCAAAGCAAAATCTAGTAATTTTGTAGGTGCTAATTTTTCTTATATAATTTTTTCTAAATAGTTGTTTTTTAGGATTTACAAGCATACAAAGAAATGTTAATTAATTATAGTAAAAAGATAAGGGCTTTATGGTTACCTGAACCTAGAACTATAAGATACTCATGTTCAAGAGAAGTGGTAGGTTTTGTTCATAAAGGAGGTTTTAGTTTTTCTCTTGGGAAGAGTTCTGCTACTGGATACATTGTTAGTGATGCGTTGCTGGCGGTTAGACAATTCAAAAACAGAATCTTATTGAGAAATACAAATTCAAGGCAATATAAAGTTGCAAACTTAACTGTGATTTTAGAGTAACTGGAGAATAAATGATTCTTACATTTTTTCGTTTGCTAAAATTCTTGTTTTAATGGTTGTGTTTCAGATTTCTACATTTATATTTGTGGCATCACAAAACACCAAATGAACTACCACAAAAAACAGTATGAGAAAATACTTGTACTAGGCTAAATAATCTCTAAACTGTAGTGGACAATTGATAATAGCTTTATTTTGTACTCCATGTTAGTCACTTACAGTTTTCAAAACATTCTCTAGCAATGAAACAAAGACAATAAAATGCAAATTACAGCATTTTAGAGATACAAATTACATTAATAGTACAGAAGTAGGAGTACAAAATCTATACAATGTAGTGCACTGAATTAATACTTTCACTAAAGTTGGGACAACTGTATATTAGACTTGGATTAAGTTTATCTAAATCCACAGAAATCTTTGAACTAAGTACACTAAAATGACACATATTATATGTACAACAAAACTCATTTAAATTTTTGATCATCTCATCATAAGAGGAATGTGGAATTGAAGAAATTATATACAATAATTATTAATGCAATTATTGATTATTGTGTTGGAAGATGCTTATCAATAAAGTGTTTAATGTCGCGCAGTTCTTCATCCGAAGAGGTATGCATAAGTCCTCTATATGATTTAAATTCTGGATCTTTGAGTAAAGTTTTAAGAAGAGAAGCAGTCATTTGACCCCATTTATAAGGAACTACAGGATCACAATCACCATGGCACTGCAATATCTGTAACAACATAATTTATGGGTGACGCAATATTTTTATAATCAGATACTCACAGGTAGTTCTTTTGCAACTTTCATTGCGCCAGGAAAACTTTTATGCAATGGTAACCAACCTGACAATGAAACAACTCCAGCTAATGTTTGTGGAAAGACCAGTGCTGAATACAGCGCCAACGCTCCACCCTGTGAAAAACCACCTAGGACTATTCGATTGGCAGGAATCCCATCCTTGATTTCATTATCAATCATTGAATGAATTTGTTTGGTTGCTTGTTTAATTCCTAAAAATGTCAATTACTAATTATACATCAAGTTTTTTCATGGATGTTTTATAAAACCAAATTTGAGTGATCAAACTTGTACATATAGTTATCAAATTTGTACATATCATGTTCTCAAACTTCATGACATTATCTTTGCATTGTCTAAAATTAATCATTGAATATTACTATTACCACCCTAGGTGATTAAGTCCAGCATCCTGATTTAAGCAGTGGATTTAAAAAATCAATATCATTAACATAAAGTGACATGGGGCTACAAGGTCTAACGCAAAAGTTATTTTTAACGAAAATTTGTACCTTTGATAAGAAAAACATAATAAAGTTACCTTCTTCATCCTCTGGACCTGACGCGTCAAGCGTTCGTAAATCAAACCAACTAGGCATGCGAAATCCAGCATTTAAAGTAACAGGCATAGTTGGGGCTGTCGGGCATATAACTTTTACGTGAGCAGGTCTTAAAGCAGCCATAGCACTCGCCCATCCTTGGCTAATGAAACACTGTTATCTACTATTAGAAAATTTATTTGTATGCTTACCCAGTATCTCCTAAACCATGCAAAAATATTAACTGAAAACCAATATTTTCTGTAAAACAGTGTTTTTACTAATAAAAACAAAACTAACCGTAGCTGTATGTTTAGCCGTTGCGGTAATAACAATCGGAGCTGCCATTATATTCTAATCTGCTGAATTCTTCTCTTTTCGGTCGTTCGATGAAACAAGGCTTACAAAAAATTTTTCAGTCACTTGAATTTTCCGGCTGCTGTAAGTTTCATTTAAAATTGTAGCAAATCTGAAATTAACACGAAACTAAACCTATACTCAGTGGCTATTGCTTATTGGCAGATTAGTGGTTTGCAGTGAGTTGAGGTTGTGATGTTGACGTTAATAGAAAGAGATAAAATCAGACACAATTCTAAAGCGCAACCGCAAAAATATTGCATACAGTTTTGGATCTTCTGTCTCGATCGTCATCACAGTGGCGTCGCATATTTAGGGTCCTAGGGTAAAAAGTAAAAGTGTAGTGTTTAAAAATGGACAGGAAGGAATAAGAATGTCTGTAAACGTAGTGCAGACTTTCAAATCCCTTTCTGTGATATATTTTTATCAGACACCTGCGTATTTATTTCTTTAAAACATTTTTTATATTTATTCAAGCAATAAAAAAGCACACATTAAAAAATACTATTACAGGTACTTTATTAATTCATATTACATACAAAAATTCTTATTAATCTAACAGAAACTGCTGGAAATAACTACCACCAGCTAGAATTTACGTATCCAATATTCTCCTCATTAACTACAGTTTCCGATAAAAAATTTCAAACATCACTATCATGTCAAAAATTTTAATGTAGTCCATGCTTTATTGTCATTATTTCGGACAGCTGGAAAGTCAAACTTTCAAAATTCCAGCTTACGCTTACAGCTACATTCATGTAAATGTCAAATGTAAAAGTTAAAAATGACTGTCAAATATTTAGGTTAGAAACATCTAAAGGTTGCTTTACACTATCTGACGACTGAATGACATTGACGTCTGAAATTTTTTGGCGGCAACGGTAGCTGGTGATTTTTTTCAAATTATCAGGGTTGTTTCTTATTGCATTAATCCCTCAATTATCCCATTTCTCAAATTTTCTTAATTTTCCACTGAAGTAGAGTCTATTTGTACAATAATGGTTTCTAATGGCTCTATATTCTTCATTTGATAACGACAATGGTCGACTTCTTGTCTTAGGTATTATTTATTAATATTACAGTTTCGGTCACAAAATCTTGGGCAGTTCTGTCATTCCTGCGACATAAGCTCTAAAACAGGCTTTACGTACCTCAAATATATATATTTATAACCTCAAATTTGCCATGTTTGTCTTTTTGACGTAAACTGGAATGTGGATGTTGACGTATGTCAAAATTTATTTTTTAAAAGTGTCAATCATTATGACAGTAAAGCATAGACTACATCGTGTTTTTTTTAATGACAGAAAAATACTGCCCAAGATTTTCTGGCCGAAACTGTACCATATTTTTTTTTACAAAATAACCCAAACACGATAAAAAAATTGATCGAAAGTTGTTTCGACAGAACTTCCCTCGCACCTAAAGTACAATGAAATATATCCAGCATTTTAGAGTTGACTTTTTTCTTTACACAATTTTCAGATGACGTCATCAACATTTTTGCAAAGATGTGCATATCAGCCTGGATTGGTGCAGTGTAATAATAAAAATAACAGTATTGTATTCCCAAAATTTTCTGGGAAAATAAATGAAAGTTCCTGATTTGATCAATAAAATAAATTGGCTCATTCATAATTTTTTTTGGGCCACCTGTTTAAGCAAATCTAACAAATATGAATGCAGTGATAAATTACAAGTATAGACCGATCATATTTTGCACATTTTAGATAGGATTTATTCGGCAAAATTTTGAGGTGACGTCTTTAATTTTTTAGGGGGGATAAGCAAATACATTTTGATAAAACATTGACAATGCTTATCATACTTTTAAAACATCTTCACATTAAATTGCAAATTGTTGTTTTATGATTTTAATTTTTTTTCCAAAAATCTGGACGTTTCGGGTAAAAACTCAACACGGATTCATAAACTACATGTGTAGGACTATGTTATTTTATACAATTTAAAACCCATGTACTAGGTAGAATTTTGAAGTGACGTCATCACATTATTGGTGGGGATGGTTAGACAAATTTTGGTTAACGTTTTACCATCTACATATTATTCCTAATACATATAAATACAAAATTTGACAACAATAAAAATTCGGGACCAGAGACAGATGGAAAGACAGACAGATAGACGGAAACGGAAGACATATTTCGTCGTACTCTAGGCGTCATGAAAGGTCGAGAAAACGTAAAAGTAGAGAGTCGGCCGCTTACGCTCGGGAAGTAAAAATTGGTCTAAGGTTATTTCGACAGAACTTCCCTTCCTCTGAAGTACAATAAAACATATCCAGCTTTTTCTAAAAATTACAAAATTTGATTTTGCAAATTTCATTTTTTTTGGACTTTTCTATGAGTTAAAATAGAGATATGTATGTAATATGTTTCAAATGAGTTTTCCTTTAACAAAATTTTCTGATAACGCCATTAATATTTTCGCAAGGCCACGTATATCTATCAGTTTGGATAGGTACAATGTAATACTAATAATAATAGTATTGTATTCGCAAATTTTCGGGAAGATTGTGAGCTGTTCCTGATTTAATCAATAAGATAAATTGACTCATTCATTAATTTTTATGAGTCATCCGCTATAAGCAATTCAAAAACTTTTAATGCTATGATAAACCACAAGTGTAGACTCATATTTTGCACCTTTCGAATAGGATTTTTTCGGTAAAATTTTGAAATGACGTCATCAATTTTTTAGGTCATAGACAGATACATTTTGATTAAAAATTTACTATGTTTAGGATAACTTTAAAACGTCTGCAAGCTTTCAAAGCATTCAGTCCTACAGTTCCCGATTTAAACAATAAAATAAATTGACTCATTCAATAATTTTTTGAGTCATCCTGTATAAGTAATTCTAAAAACTATGAGTATGTTGATAAACAAGTATAAAGTCATAATATTGTAGATATACAGGGTGTTATTGAAAGGTACATACAACAAAATGGACAGTTCTTCGCGAAGTGTAAGAAGTCGGAAAAACTTATTTTGTGCTATCAAAATTATAAGGGGAAAATTAACCCTTATCCAACCTTTTTAGACGCTACTGAAGGATAAATAGATAAAATTAATTTATTTTAGTAAATCCTAGCAACTGTAACAATAAAATTTTTGTCAAGAATAAATGTTGCTGTAGAAACGAAAGGTGATTTTTTTATCAGAGGTGTACAACGAATTTGGACATAAATTTTAATAATTTTTATCTCTAAAAGGAGAACACTTTTACCTGAACTTTTTTTAATTTTTAGCACCCATACGTCGAGACCAATTGCCGATGTTATTTTGTACGTACCTTTCAATAACAGGCTGTATATTTCAGAGAGCATGTGTTCGACAAAATTTTACGTCATACATTTTTTGGGAGGGGATAAACACATAAATTTTGATTAAAGATTTGCCGTGATTACGATAACCGTTAAATATCTGCAAGATTTCAGAGCATTCGGTTTTGCAGTTTCAGTGTTAAATTGCAAAATGTTGTTAGGTATACAATTTTGATTTTTTTTTAATCTGGATGAAAACTCAACATGGATTCATACACCACAAACGCAGGATTATCTTATACTGCTGTAAATTTTAGAGATGATGTCATTCCATTGGTGGTAGGGATGATCCGCCAAATTTTGGTTAGCGGTTTATCATCGACATGATATTCCTAATAAGCTTACAAAATTTTACAACAATGGATCTAGTAGTTTCCGAGATTATCTATATAATTAAAACACGGACAAACGGCAAGCAGATAGACAGACAAACAGACAGACAGAAACGGGAGATCTATTTTTTACATATTGTAGGGATAATGAAACGTCGAGAAAACGTTAAAGTAGCGATGGACTCGATTACAACACTTACGCTCAGAAAGTAAAAAATCACCAACTCGCGCATTTGAAGTAATAAAATTCAACAGCAAAGGTATATAAATATAGCATATAGTGTGAGCATAGATTATGATGAGGACCTACGTAAAATAGTTTAGAATCCTGAGTACTGACGAGCTGATATTACAGTAAAATAATTTAGATTTTTTCGAAATAGAGACAAGGAAGTTTTGACACCTCACAAAATTGACGGGTCTCCTCATAAAAAGACCCTATAACCAACAGTGTGTACAAATCTATCATTATAAATATATTAAAGTACTTAGTGTAAATATACAGTCGATTCTTAATAAAATCAATGCAATTGAAATATTTACAATTGCAGATAAACCCCATATACTTATGTATATTTCATGTGCGTTAGCGTTAACGAGCATTGGTGTATCCCTGACAACATCGGCACAGCTCAAAGTAACATATACATTTTAGCTTCCAATTCTTGTATTAAAATGCAAATTAAAATTTCTAATATTATTGTTACTCACAACAATGCACCATTTGTGCCATAATTTGTTTATATAGGCCACCCCAAGGTTATATTAAATTATTTATAAAGCAACTAGCACTAATTTGCTTAACTTTAGTTTTAATAACTTTAACCATATCATTTTGTATGGTGATTTTAAGATTAACTATCTGACTAATTTTACACTAACGACAAACGACTATTTATAGATCTAATTAACAGTTCTAATTTAAAAATTAATAGTGGTAAACCAACAAGAATAATTACAAATAAAAATATTACACACATTACCTAGTGAATAAAGCAATAGGATCCGTAGGAAATGTAAATCTGAGTGATCATTCCGTCATATTTTAAAAATATAAGCTAGTAATAATTATAAACAAATTGAAGATAACATTAACTATTCCAAAAGAATTGTTACAGATCCCTAGCAATATTTAAAAGCCAGGTCATCCAGAACTCTAGCGAACAAAGAATTTTTAAATACCTTATCTTTACCTGGTATGTTAAATTAATGTTGTTATACTAAAAACACTAAACTTGTAGCTTGTAAAAATACTAAAAGATGACTCACCCAAGAAGTATTTAAGTTAGGTAATGACTTAAAAGAACTATCTTACGTCGTATGTACCTATCCAGAACTTATAGAGATAAAACATTTAAAATGCAAATAAGAAAAGCCAAACAAAATCATTATCACAGGAATCATAAACAATTTCTCAAACCCATCTAAATTAATTTGGATCAGAGAAATAGATCTAGCTCTTCAAAAAAATCAACATTTTAGCTATCAAAAGGGATTACGTCGACCTTGTAAAAGTTCGAATGTGTGTGGTATTTCACTCAGAGTAAATTTCGATTTACGTGTGTTTTTTAACGATTTAATTTTGAAAATTTAAGCAAATCACTTTACCGTCACATACCGTTGTTCTAACACCAGGTTTGTGATATCTGTACCATTTTATAACAAGAAATTTAATGATTTTCTTCGCATTTTGGTGTACCCGATAGGCGTCAGTCTTATCAGTTCACGTTTTGTTTTCCCGATAGCTCGTTTCTTGCTGAAGCGGGTAGCCGGGTATTTATATTCAGTCCTTCGTAAAAAGGGAAGGTGTTATATGGGCACCTTCTGACCACTTGTTATTTTAACATTCTTTCTTCTTTTCTTTAAAATGAAGGAAAATTCTCATTCTTCTCCCTTTCCACCGAAAGAGCAAGATATTTTTAAATAGCGCATGCTACTAATGTATAATAATAAATGTGAAGGTTAATCTAGTTTAAATTATTTTTCAATAATATCAAAATTTAAATTTTTATCTGGTTCTAAACTTATTGAGGTATGCGGTCAAAGACGCTGAAGGTGATTTTATTTTTGATGAAGGTGAAGGCGATCCAGATTCTACCTTTTTAGATATTGGTAATTGTAACAAATGATCCGAAATGCTTAGATCTGCATTATTTGAATTACTTTTGTCTTCCTCGACTGCTAAAACATTTTTTGTACTAAGAATTTGTTGTGTAAATTCAGTAATATTATCAAGTTTATCAGTTACGGGTTTTAGTGTTTTTTTAATTTCTTCTTTCGTTAAATATTCTTTAAATTGTTATAAATGAATTCTGTTTTTTTATTATTTCACGATTTAAGATAACGTCAATTATTTCAATTTTACCATCAGCTATCGACTCTGAATTGGCGTTGCCAGTCATTTATATATAGTGAAAATAAAAGATACGCCCAACTATTAATGCGTTTTATACCAATAAACATTTAGACAACGCAATGAAAATCTATAGACTACAGTTTCGACCTCTTTAGGTCTCATCAATACAGCATATTTCAATGGTTGTCTGGTATTCGAATACTTATTCTTGTAAGCCTAAGATAAGCAAAGTAACATTGTCTAAACGTTTATTGGTATAAAACGTATAAAAAAACGTATCAAGAAGAGGTGACACCAGTGATGGCAGGTGTAACACAGCGTCTGGCGTGGCTCTTGTCCGGGAAGTAGCTATTCCCACTCACTGATTAGTCCAAGTTATTTAAAAAGTACGCAGTATTTGTGACAAAAATGATAATGGAACCCAATGATTCACAACACGACATTTCTCTGCTACATCAGACTAACATTAATTTGCTTACCTTAGGCTTATAACTTGTAAGGATCAATATTAGACCAATTTTTCTGTGTAGTGTTCCTTGTCTTTTGTAATTTTGCTGTTTCTTATAACTTGCTCTAATACTAGCTTGACCAACAATATTGGGTCTCTGATATGATTTATAATATAATTGTATAATCATCCCCACAAACAATGGAATGACGTCACCTTCAAAAATGTTCAGGTGGTTTATGAATCCATGTTGAATTTTTATCTTAGATTTTTGCAAAAAAAAAAAATCAAAATTGAATAAACACTTCGCAATTTAACTTTGAAACTGCAAAACCGAATGCTCTGAAATCTTGCAAACGTTGTAAAGTGATCTTAGCCATAGTAAATTGTTAATAAAAATTTATCCCTTTTAACCCCCATCCCAAATGATGACGTCATCTTACAATTTTGGCAAATAAATATTACCTAAATTTTCGCCATGGGTAATTTATGTATTAGAACTAAGTTTGTTACAGAATACATATAAACAACATAATAGTTAAGAAGAACTTTTTCGGACGATCTGGAGTTTGGGACCGAGGCGTAGCCGAGGCCTACAAATCATGAGCTGGAAAAAGTTCTTTTTTGAGGTACACATAATGTTTTTTTTCTGCTACCGATAGCGTAAATGAATCTTATTGCTCCAGTGACACTGATGTAAGCGTAAGTGAAGTAAATAGGGCAACCTCGTTGCTAGCTCCGTAAGTAGGTTACTAAGGGCGTAAGTGTTACTTACGCTGCCAGGACAAAAAAGTAATGAAAGTAGTAGAATGTCAGAGAAATGTCAATAATTTCATTTTACAGCAATAGTTTCTTTTATAATTATTTATTAATATTAACTGTAACACTACACTCAGTAATATTTATTAAAGGATTATTATTTGAAGTTATTTCAAAATTAGTAACTGTCACATTTTCATCAACTGCATGAGCTTCCAACATTTTCTTATATAATTGAGGTAACAAACAGAAGAACTGACACGACGTTAATTTCAGCATTGAATATTCACACCATAAACTGCTAGGAGACTTGCGGGCTTCGGATCTTTCCTTAAAATAACCAAACATTACGGTTTCATTAACATCTTGAATGTTTCGTGATGTATACCAAATTGAAAATGCGTTGTAAGTTTCATTATAACGGAATTTCGATTTTTCAGGTAACAGACATGCGCAAGCAATATTGGCAGCTTCTTCTATAGCCTGTAAATGACTTGAATCACTCATTTTTCACTTTGAACAACTACTTTTTATTAGAAAACTTCACTTGTAAACAAATTTTTTTATCTTGTTGCTACGGAAATGAATACGTTCAATGAGTTCCTGATAATTTCTTAAATATTTTTTAGTTACTAGAATTATTACTTTTTAGTGTTACTGGTGTCGGTAGCAGAAAAAACGTAATACAATACACGCTGCGTAACTCCTTTCTTAAGTCTCGGAGGTTTGCCGGGCCTCGGCGTTGCCTCGGCCCGTCAAATCCACCTCGACAAAAAAGTTTCCTTACGCAGCTTGTAATGTAAATAACTATTAGGTGACCATACAAAAAATAATTGGTTATGTAAGTAGTTTTGAAGTTAGAAATTATTTTTTCATTGTCGGAAAACCTTGAGTCTTGACTTGATAAAAACCAAAGTGCTACTTTGCTCTTCCACTACGAAAAATACTGGTACCGTGAAGTTTCGTAACGATATTCAATAAAGGTGGAGTTCAAATACCCTTTTATTTACAGCGATGGATCACAATCCTTCCAACGCACTAGTTATAATACTAATCTACAATCTAGAGCTCATCTGGACGTAACTTTAACTTTCCAGCTTCTAAGTCGGAATCTGCTACAATGAACGTGTGGATCTCCTTTCAAAATCAGCAGTTAACAATGGATCCTCGATCTTCTACATTCTAAAGACGATATCGCTCGACCAATTAAATTAAACACAACATTCGTACACAAGAGCTTCGACGTTGCTGAATTTTTTTTTACCTTACGTTCTAAGAATCCAATAGCCAAACTTTTGTTACTTCCCGCCCTCGCTATCCCCTTTATACAACCTTTTCTAACCAATCCCAGTCTTTTGGCAACACCCTGCTACGCTTTCAGATTCAACACACCCAAACACCGTTTCATCTCTTTCGCCTAGGTATCCCAGTTTCCTGTCAATTTTTGGTGCCCTAGTTATATCATAACTGATTGGCGTCTCAATACTCTTAACATCACGACCTTTATTCTTCAGTTTAGGCGCATTACGTCCGTTCCGTTTGGAGAAATTTTTGAAAATGTTAATTTTCAGATGTATCAAGCAGTATATACTTTGATCCAGATCTCTGGTTTTCAGTTTTAGGTGGTACACCTTTGTTTATACATTCGTAAAAAGCTCTGACTGACCTCTGAGCGTGAAGCTCTGTGTTCCTATCTATATGGTGTTAGCTTGATGGTTTCCTTTCTTCTTATAGATCCTGGGTTGAAGAAATGCTCATGGCTATATAAATCTGGAAAGTTCACAGGCTAAGCAACAAAAATATACATAATAAAGTCTATTTTCATGTTTTCTTAGCGATCTACATTGCTTGTCATTTGTCTGTTTGTCACAGTAACTTTGCTGTCCTGCGGAACAGATTACTCTGTCTTCCAAAATGTATCAATTCGCCTCAAAAAGAAAAAAAGCCATCTCAAAATATCATTAAATCTCACTTGAACTATGCATTTCCAGTGAGTTGCTTTTTTAGCTTTCTTCTCAGTTTACACATACGGTTTTAAAAAAAAAGTTTTACCCATAAAATTTTATAATATTATATTTTCACCATTGATAGCATATACAGGGTTGCTAAAAAGTATGGATAGGGCTAAATATTTCCAGAACGGTTGATCACAACTCATTGAAATTTGGTGTTTTTTTTTTATTTTTTAGTGCAAATAAAGAAAGGCATGTGTTACATCTCTGAATGCAGATTTTTTTAATTATTAAACTTGACCCCTCGTATTATTAAAAAAAAATTAAGTTGACCTTGTATTTCCAAAACAAATATTGATGGAAATTTGAACATTTTAGAGGATAGAGTTTAAATATGTACTTATACCTGCATACCAAATTTCATTGAATTCTGATAATATTATTTAGATGTATGCATATTTTTAGCAATCTGTATGGAATATCCATTAGCAATGTATTAGCGACCGTGTTGCCATTAGTTAATTAAACATATAGAAAAATCATACAAATATTAAAATTTATTTTCAATCAATATTCTAACCTGACTATGCTAAATAAAATGTATAAATACCAGTGTGTATAGTAGATTAAATATAGTAGATTATCACGTTATGTTTCGAAAATTGTCGTTTACCTTAATAATTAAATACGTGCAGACCACTTTGGAAATATACCTCATGTAAGATATGTGCATCCAATTTTGTAGCCTCTTTGCGGAATTAATATCTGTATATAGATTATCACATACGTATCCATAACGTATTAATGAATGATAATACCAACCTGTAGACATTCGTAGAAAAATAATCATTGACTTATATTTCACCAACGTTTCAATGAAATGGGTTCACTTCTTTTAAGTTGGATAGCTTTTGTCTACAAATAGTATATGGATTGTTTTTTTAATAAAAGCTAAGTAAATAAGTTGAATTATTAACTGTTAGTACATATATATTTTATTTATTACTACTTTATTTTTACAGTCAACAGAATTTTAAACATTATTGTCATCATACCCAAAAATTAAAACAAAAACTCACACACACAATGAATTTGCTCTTGTTAGATCCTGTTTTTATAAAATATATACTCCATAATATAACGTCATTAACATAACTAGAAGTTGTTGCTGATTATATAATTTCTGTGCAGACATGTAAAGCTAAATGGCAATCAAGGAGCTGTAAATAAAAAAGTAAACATTTTTCTTAAAGCTTAGGCAGTGTTAAAACAGTAACGGCAATGAAACTTTAGCTCTTCGTAGTAGTAACAACTTAAGTAAGTAGCTCAATAAAACTAAAACATCGTTGTGCATTTATAGTTTCAATATATTTGTTGCCGGTTTTAAATTAGATTAAAGTCGTTGACGCACTAAGGAGATTGAAAACATATTAATATAAATCTATAGAGTGTTTTCACAATTTGTTGTGTCATTAACTTTATGTTGATATGCAGTATAATTGATACAGTAGATAATTTGTTATTATTCTATATTAAGTAGTCAATAAACCCTAGTTTCTGTAGTAATATGAGAATGAAGACTGACTGAAACAACAAGATTTACAATAACTATTTTGTTAGTTCAATAAAAAGGAGAAAGAATAATTTTATGTAAAATAATTTAACGGTTTTGGAAAACTTTAATACATAGTAAAATGTATATAGATAAAGCGTTGATAAAAGTGTATGCAATATGTTGCTGAAAATGTTTGTAATGTAAGTCAGAAAAATCCCTTGAGTCATTGCCCGATGACTCAAGTAACGATTTAAAAATTGAAACCTTTATAAAAGAACATCAGTAAATGAAATTATACCTAATTAACATTGCTAATGTTATCAGTAGGGTAACCACAACTAACATTATAAAATCTTTAGTATTATTCAACGCTGCTAGACTACACATTAACTTTATTACGACTCTTGTACATGTTCTGATATAATGTGTAACAAGCCAACTAATCGCACTTGATTTTTTTTTAACCACCATGGATATTCGGAACAGCTAAGTTCGCAAATGTTTGTAAAGGACATTAAAATATATCAATATCGACATATGACCAAAAAGTCAGAGATAAATAAATTTTATCTAATAAGCTTTTCCAAGGTTTTTATATATTTGTTTTTATACTTTTAGTAAACTGCTAATAATTATAATTTAGTTATTCATTTGTCAAAAATTCTTTAAAAAAATATTGATTTTTGCAGTCATTTCCATCTTAAAAAATCAACAACCTTTCTCATTTGCTTTCGTAATGGCATCGTTGTGTAAGAATTCATTATTATTCGTTTTCGCTACGTTGTCTTCACCTGTATCAGGACTGCCTTCTTCGTTAAATTCTATCACATTATCTGTAGAAGAGATTTCGTTGTCTATTTCACTCTCCTGTTTATCCACTGATGCACTAAATGATGTTTGTTCTAGTATAGCGTCTGCTGCAGCTTCCCAGAATGTCGGAGGCGGCCTAAAATGTAAGATAAAATCATTTGTTATTAATTCCTGCATTACATGAACACAGATTTTCACAAATGGATGTTGATGAACGAACGATGCCAATGTTGACGACGACTGAATTGTTCTAGATGATGTGGAATGGGATGAAAAACTTTCGGCCAAGAAGAAAAACTTTTTCCTAATGCCCAGTTTTTTGACTAGGTTATATCTAACAATAGAGCACCATAATTACTGCGTCTAGGATTGTTCTGTTATGTTGTAGAGGGAGCTCTGGTGATTCTGATATAATCTGATCCTGAAATTTGTGTTCTGTTTAAGTAATGCGATCACTATGTGTTTCTATTCTCACCAGGATTGTTGCAACAATACTAAACACAAGTCAAATTTTAACTAAGTTAGTGACTGGCTACCATCCAATATTTGTACTAGTTCAATATAAATATATTTGTCAACTAAGTTGTGGCGCAGATCCTTTTAAAAAAATAGTTTCATTTTTTTAGACATCTGATTTAGCTTTAGTAGAAAAGCAGCATTCGTCACATTTCCTTTGTTTATTCGCAATGCCATACTTACCAAGCTTTTTATATTACGTGTGCATGTGATGATATTTTTTGTAGTATTACATTTTAATTTTACTTGGCTGAAGTTAGATTATTCATAGAAACTACTAGTTGTTATAACGGCAGAAGTAGAAGGCATTCAGTCGCTACTGCACAGACGTAGCAATTAATTTTAAATTCACGTGGGTTTAGCAGTCAATGAATATAAAACACTATATAATCATCGGAGACCGGACTACTGAGGGTAACCTTCAAGATTATAAACTAGCGTCCTCGTTGTATTTAATGAGGGTTAGATTGAAGTTTAAGTAACAATTATCGTTCTATACAAATTTTCCTTCGCATTTTGTACCTATGTTATGTGTTGGATATGCGTGAATTTAAACGAAAAACTAGCTTTACCCGCAAGAATCCGCTCTCTGATAATAATCATTGCTGTTCGGATCATAAACTCGTTTTAAGAAGATTGTGACTTGCAACTCTGTAGATATTTGACACATGAAATTTAAAATGTTAATATAAATGAGCCTACGTGTTTTTACATAAGCTTTTTGTTATCGGTGATAATTTTTTTTGCTGATAACATTGATAACTTTTTATATTTTAAAAATTTAGTAAAAGTTTGAAGCAAACTACTACTTGTTTAAAACTTTGTATAAGTAATAATAATAATATATTGTTAGTACAATGTGCAAAGTGTTAGAAACAAAGTCCTACCATGCAGTTTGCAAAGTGAGTTACAAGCTTTCTCAGTACGTCACATTGCAGTTGGCGATAACCTACGTGCTCAAAATGTATTAAGTATGATTGTTTAAATGTTTGTAATAGTTTTTAAGTTAAGTCGATGCCTGCACTCGTGTTATGTTTTGTGTGAATTTCAATGTACCGCTACTTGCTGACATAGTAAGTATGCCACGCAATGTATGTTAAATAAGAAACTACAAATACTTATAAAAAACTGCTTCTGTGTTTTTATTCTTGTTTTTTTTTTTTAATAAAAAATGTCATTGCCTGTTATTACAGTGTTACATGTTATTTAGTTGTGTGGTAGTCAAGGTAGGATATGAAAATGCCTGTATGTCTCTAAAACTACGATACTAACTCTTTTGAAAGTTTAGGTGTACTTTGTTGATTATTATCGCTGTGACTATATTTCTCGTATAAAAAATTAATCTATTAGGATGTAGTTGCCATTTAAAGTGTGCGGTGTGACATGGTTCACATATAGTTTAAAAACTCCCTTATTTTTAACTTTACGTATACAAATTGTAAAAAATGTGGACCATATTGTATTAGATTGTATTTTGTGTGGTGAACTTTCAATGCACTTTGCATACAGTTAACCATTTATTCATCTGGAGATCTAGAATGACAGTACTTTCAAATGAATTTCATATTCTCTGCTTTTCTAAACACAAAACTTTCGACGTAATTTACTGTTGTTAGGCTTTTTCATACCCGAGTATTTTTTAAGCAAGTGGTGTACCTATATATCTTCCAAAAAATTAAAATACATGTAGTTTATTGCATTATTTCGTTAAAGGTCCAAATGCTTTACAGATTATAGAACATGAAAATGTTGATTTCGTCTTTCCGTCGGTGCGTCCGTTTGTCTTTTATCATCCTCATTCCCAACATTTTATCTCAAAAAAATTATTAAACAAACTTTTATTAACGAACAAATTTCGATATGCGTTACTGCTTCAGTAATATTTTCTTATACACTTAGTACTTACACACGAAATGCGTAAAAATTAATACATGACCTAAGTAATATTTTGTACTGACGTCATTTCAAAAATTTTCACTAAATCTTTCTTTCTTTTTGTGATCGGGCAAAACAAAAAAAGTCAGGCAACTGAGAATGATTAAAGCACTAAAATACTTTCCTTCCACGTTACTTTTAACTACAATCGTACGAATTAACAAACCCAAGATTTACACTGAATGCCATTGAAGTCGCCCTGAACAGATTATGTACTTGTGAAACATAAGAGATTTTCATTACATGTTTTTCGATTATGATGTTGAGAAAACAATAGAAAAATGAAATTCATTTCATGCTGTTATTCTATCACCTTAAAGCGGTCGGTCTCCAGATTTTAAATGGTTTTTAAGAAATGAATTAAAATAATTTTTTAGTTTTGACTTACCTGGTACAGATTTTAAAGATATTTAGATTGCATTGTTTTACAGATGTTTATTGTTGTTGTACTTCGTGTTATTAGTTGTCGTTTTAGAATATTTCATCTGATTTTTGGTAAAAGAAAATTTTACGTAACGTAATTGTTGTACCTAAATTTAGTGGAATTCTAAGAACACATAAACTGTGAACCTGCTTTCCATTTATCAAGTATGTATACGAATGATCTTTGTTGAGCTTATCGCGTTTCATGTTATGTGAAATTAGATTACATTAATGAAGGCAATGACCAGGTTAAAGAAAGTGATTGTCCAAATTTATGTGTCGCCAATTTTCATGCAAATGTAAAATTCGGTTTAAATATCTGTAGAAAATTTTTATCAGTCACGAAATCTACAGAAGCAGTAATAATGTGAAGCAAGGAAAATTTCTACGAATATGCAAATTCTGTTCTACTTTAGCTAATAAATTGCTACTTACGCAGTTTTTATGTATCGAATTTACCTTCAGATTTCCATAATAAAAAAGTCAATTTTTACCACCTGTCTCTGAGTGCGTTGTTTATTATGAGAATGAATTTGAAATACGAATGTATTCTATTTTTAAAACTAATTCAAAGAACCCCTATTGTTTAGAAACAGCTAGCCTCTATAACAATGTAACTGGAATAATAAAAGAAATGCTATTAAGTATATAATATTTATTTTTTAAATTGTAAGTAGTTTAAAATAGAAAATTTTTGATTACTCTAAATGTAAACTCTTTCTATGTACAGTTCTCATGTAATACTCATGCAATTTACTCTAGAATTAGACATTTCTCTAGAGCAAATTTTAGCATGACTTCGCGTAACACTCACATCAGACCACTTACTCCTCCTTCTGTGGCTCCTTAACCGGTGATGTTGCCGGAGTAGGGAGTTTTGTTACAATTTCTTCGACTTTTTTTTCTACACTGTTCACACTGTCCCCCAACACGTCAAAATGTTGCTCCATGTCCTCTATTTCTAGAGCATTTTCTACATTTTCACCCATTTCTTTAGCCTTTTCCTCCATTTCTTTTTTAGTCGAATCTATTTTTTCGAAAACTTCCGATGTTTTAGATGACAGCATTTCTTTTGTACTTTCGGCTTCAGATGCTAATACCGTTTCAGCTTCAGAAATTGCTTCTGTCGCAGAATCTGATACTGCATTTGCTACTTCTTCTGCTTCCTCTTCCATATTGTTCACAGCCTCTTTCAAATCAGACGTAGTAGAATTCACGTTGTTGCTTGCTTTGCCCATAACTGAACCTATGCTATTTTCTGCAGTATTTAAAGCTGATTTCATTGCACCTTTAACATGGTCCATTTCTGTAGATATTTTGTCTCCCACATCTGAAGCGAGAAAAAAATATTTTATTCAGTATTGTACATTTTAAGATAATGCAAATTAAAATAATTCGAGTTATGTGGGCGACGTCATAGCGAGTCAGAAGTTATTTAGACAGAACTTTCCTCACCCTCGAGGCAGAATGCTTGTAACAACGTCTTCTTTAATTATTTAAGTTTATTATTGAGTAACTGTTTGTAAAGGTAAATATTTTAATTTTAATTTTAAGAATTGCAACATTATCATAAAGTTACTTTGTTCTACAAAAAATTACAACATAATACATAATAATCGTTTACCCTCTTTTACTCATTACCAATTCGATGTAACTAAATTACTATATATTTTTATTTATTTATAGGAAATATTATTAAATATTCAATATTGTAGTTTCATAATTATTATACTCGTGGTCTACAAAAATTGTTTATACGTAGCTCAATATATTTTTTAATCGATTTTCAAAATCTTGAAGCTGCAGTCTATACAATGTTAACATTTTTTCATTGTTTGATCTGATACGGGGTGGCGTGCTCACGCTAATTTTATAGTCTCCAGTACCCAACACACGCAATCACTTCTGACTGTCAAGGAAAAATAATGAAGGAAAAGCAATATATTAAAGCAACGACATTGACCCCTTATCTTCCGATATAATCATAATAATAAAAAAAACAATTTAATTACATATCTTTATGAATTCACGAAGTAAAATATTTTTTCCAAATAATAAACTGTTTAAAATTCAAAAATTCCAAATTCTTCTGCTATCCGTGATTTTCTGTTTCTTTTACATTTCATTTGCATGTAATAAGCTGACGTAATCAAGGATTTTTAAATTTGTGGCAATTTTTACGAAATTTATCATTGTCAACGTTTTATATTGTGAGGTCAACTCTTTCGTGAGCTTGTGCATAATATACTATGCGAGTTCTAAGGAAGATTAAAATATGTAATGCAGTTTTATCTCTTTCAGTTATAGTTGTTGACTAATAAAGATAAGATTGGTTTTAAAATGGACAGTTAACTATCTTTCAACAACGTAGGTATGGGATTACAACTCGCTGACTGTAAATTTTCGTTACAGATCGTTAGTCTCTTCCACATATTTCACCCATTTTTCAAAATTCGTGTTCGAATTAGTACTATTAAACATTATCTAATTTATTTTGAAATTAAAAATGCAAATGCAAACTTAAAGTCAAACCAGCATTTTTAAAGTTTTACTTGCTTGAGGACGATCTCGATATTTTTATTATTATTTTTTATACCAATGGGCTTAAAAAATAATGAAAAATAAAATATAAAGTGGTCCAAAATCATCTCAAATGCTCAAATACAGTAATTGAATCTTCGTTCTATCAACCAAATAATAATAAACTATTGCTTTTGCAAAAATAGAAAATATTTCATGTAACTGAATTTCTAGAATATCTATAGGATATGCATTATTATCTTGACTGTTTTAACAGGAATATTATGCTGATAGTACCCAATGTATTATGTATACATTTGATCATTTAGACGATACAGTAAGTATATTTCTAAGAAACGTTCTTTCATAACTACATTCTTATTCAAAAATTATGTTGATTTTTTCGTTACCCTGTTTATGACACTTTTACAAAAGAGATTTTTTTTTCAAAAATTACTACTACTACTACTACTAAAGTTGTACTTTGTCAAAAAAAATCACTAGTGCTTAAAATAATGTACATTATGAAACTTTGTACAACACTGTAAATAAAAATATAAATAAAAAATCGTCGAGGTCAATGACTCAAAATATTATGATTAAATAGCATGTCTAAATGAATGTGGAATACGTGTATATTCTGAAGATAACGTCTTTTTATGAGAAGGATTAAAAAATAATGAATTCTGTTTAGATAATGCCGTATGCGGAATATTAATTACTTTTTATCCTACGTGAATGTACAAGAATTTGTTTCATTTAAGAAACATTTAAACGTTTGCTCGAAAGTTTTACAAATTAGCACAAATTCGATTAATTTTATAGGCATAACTATAGAACCAATGAGTCAATATCCATAGTACTTAATTAGCAATAAATTTTGTTTGATACTCTTAAATAATAATTATTATTATGTATTGTGCACGTAAAGTTGAATATTGTCCACGAGAAAAATTATATATTTGGAGGAGGTAGTGGAATTATCTATTTTTCGTTTATTTATAACAGCATTAAAAGTAACGAAAAGTAAAATATGAAGTGGTCCAAAATGATCCCAAATACTCATCAAATAGAGTAATTTCGTTTGATTTTTCATAATTTTTGCGTAAATTACGTTAATCTTTTAATTTTAATGAAATACAACGATAAATGTACAATTTTTTTTCAGGAAAAATGCAAAAAACTATTGATTATTTTATTATTGTTGTTACAAAAAATTTCAATCCATCAGTGACGTATTTTTACGTTTTCCTTTACTTTACAAAAATTTGCCTCAGAGAACTGTTGTAATGAAGTGATCCTTATAATAACCATTGTGATTTTGATTACTTGCATTTAGTTTTTTACTTTAAAAGTAATTTATCAACACAAAATACTTATTACTTGCGTTTTTAAAAATAAATGAACTTTTGAAGCTGTGCTAGCCAACCAAAGTTTTTCAAAGACTGGAAGATTGTATTCCTTATGTTGGCCAGAAGGTGTCGGCCAGCAGATAATTTATGTAATAATGTTGTTAAACAAATATCAAAAAATGTTTGCTAACCTAAACTTATTTTGATGTTAAATGTTATATTCAATAACCATCTGTTTTGGATGTGACTCTTTCTACGCCCTAAAAAACTGGGCTAAAGTTATTTAGATAGAATTTCCCTCGTCTCTGAAAAATGACTGCTAAAATATAGGTAAAGACGCATGCTGTTCGTAATTTCAAGTGAGTTTTTCCATAAAAAAATTTTGTGGTGACATCATCAACACTTTATCGAGGACAGATAAGTACATCAATTTCAATAGGTGCATGCAATACTAATAATAACAGTACTGTTTACTCAAATTTCGAGGTGAATCGTTTTTAATTTTATCAATAAAATAAATTTCCTCATTAATTTTTTTGAGTCATTCTGTATAAGTAATTCTTAAAAATATTAACAACCTATAGATAATATGTTATGTTTCAGAGTGGATTTATTCGGCAAAATTTTGAGATGTCGTAATATGCTGTAAAACGCACATGTGTACATATTCTATAAAGTTTAAAAAACATTTACTATTGTCACTTTTGGAAATGGCGTTATCCCGTTGTTGGTGAAGATGATTAGACAAATGTTGGTTATCGTTTTACCATCTACACAATATTCCTAATATACATACAAAATTTGACGACAATCGGTCCAGTAGTGTCGGAAATTATCTCTCTCATACAAAGTGACGCAAACGACAGACAAACGGAAACGGGAGACCACTTTTTTCGTATTCTAGGGGTCATACAGCATCGAGAAAAATTAATGTGGCAAGTCGCCTGATGGACTCTATTATTATAACGGGTGTTCAATTGAAAACTCACTCAAAGTAGGCGTTGGAGTTTCATTTCACACAAACGGCATATCTGCTCTTATAACATCCATTTGGCAGACACATAACCTGTTGTATGTTATATGTTATAAGAATAGACATGCCGTTTCTGTCAAATGATATTCCAACGCTTACCCTGAGTGATTTTTTAATTGAACACCCGTTACTTCTTTAGCTTACACTCAGAAAGTAAAACACCGTCGACAATTGAATTCTCACCGTCTGCTCTAAAAACATTTTTTTTGTACACCCGTTAGCTGCAAAATTTGAAAAATTAAAGTTTTTCAAAACAGATATGGGTGATGTTTTTTTACTAAAGGTTGTACTGGTTGAGGCAAAAGTAATGACTCGTTATCTACAAAATCTAAGACAAGTACGAAAACCAATTCTTGTTATTCAAACAACGGTGGAAATCAAAGAATACATTCGTAGGAGCAAACACTAAGCTCATCAGTGAATTTTAGGGCATTTTATCTACTTGTTTAAAATGAGTGAGGTAATTATCATTTTATTATTAGGGATGGATAAAGACATTTTATGAATTAGATGAAGTTGCTGCACGTGTATAGGCCCTAAAGGTGCTTTGGCTCGTGTAAGTTTTAAAAGAAACTGTATTTTTTTTTTCAATGAGCCATATTCATAAGTTAAAAATATCGATACACTTAGACTTAGCAAGATTTAGAAGAAGGGTGATTGATTACATTTTTGATATATATAAACAAACAGATTGTTATTAGTATTTTACAATCTGTACGACATAACTACTTAACGTGCACCTAAAATTTCACATTAATGAATCTAGTAGTTTCGGAAATTATCTGCCTAATATAATCGCCACCACACAAACAGAGAAACTGACTGACAAATGGCAGGAAACGGAAAACCGAGCTGTAACACGATCATAGTTATTTGCATCACAAGGCCAGAAACTAGGGTTTGCGAAAAACGAGTATTCGAACAACGATGTTCTGGGTGAATGATACACAAGATTTTTTTGTACCGACTTTTTATAGATAAACTTGATACTGACTATATTATTCTGTAACGGTACAATATAATCATGGGAAGGCAAAAACACGAATAATCCTTGACGGCTTAGTTAGAATGTCACAAGTTCGAATGTCGCTTAATTCCAAATTTGTTCTTTCTTTTTGTGCGCAACCTATTAGACAAACAAGAAAAAAAGATGAAAAGCAATGTTTCCAATGATATACGATATACGATACATTTTTTTTTCCAAACGAAAATGTAAATTGTATGTAATAAAAGTATAGCAACACTAGAAAAAGATATGTATTTAAAAGAGATTGAACTAAAATCTGATAATTGGAAATAACATTTCCATGGTTACAATGAATAACAACAAATAATATAAAACAGTGGCGTGAGCGTCGCGGCGCTGCCGTTTCTCAATTATCACAGTAGAACAGTGTTTCTGTTACATATATTTTCTAAACATGG